TACCTTCAGCTCAACTATGACGCGCACAGCCCCGTCTACTGACCACCTCCGACACCGCCCCGACTGCTGACCGACAATGTCCCGTCTCCTGACCGACAACGCCCCGGTCACCACACGGACAGCAACAAACGTACCGATAGACTTCTAACTTTTATTTATTAACGTGGGGAAAGTCTCTCAGGAATGAGATGTGTCGGGTTTGCATAAACTCAACACGATGACTATTTCAATGTCATTTGTCCACTTTTAGCCATACAAATGTATGAACTAAACCTGACAAATGTTCTGGTGTTTCAGTCACATTAAGCACTTTTTGGTGGAACCAGATGTAACAGTTGACACTACACAAGGTATATCGATGGATAGGAATTTTCGCTGATTTTTCATGACTGGTTATTTTCCAACCAGCGTTGTGTATACGATCTGTTCACATAAATATTTAATAATGTTTACAATAAACACAGTTTTAATAAATCATTGTGTTCTAAAACCAACATTGCGTTACCTTTTTTTAAATGAAACAGTAAAATTATTAATTTTTATTTATTTCAATTCGTAGCATTATTTTATTTATATTCGATTAACCGTCACTTTCTGAGACCAAAATCTTGCTTTAAACATATTGTCATCTTTGTGTGTTATTTTTGACAAAACAGATATGTTTGTTTTGTTTAATTGGGGGGGACTTGGTCTCAGAAGCATTCGGTCAAATGTCCGAAGACTTAAAATATAGCGACATTGAGCTGTATTCAAATAATATAAATGTATACGCGTTCGTACAATAATAATGATAATGTTAGTTTGTAATCTTAATATATTTATTTGTAAGTAATTATTGAATATTAAATAGATTAGAGGAACATTGTATGGCGGCAGCCTGTCACTCTGTCACTCTGTCACGCTGTCACACGCGCGCTCTTACAGTACAGAGTACGTGTACAAAACATTCCAATTCTTTTTATTATTATTATTAAAATGTTAATAAAAAAAACTATAAAACTACAAACAAAAGCAGTTCAATAATATTTCAATTATTGTTACATCACTTTATAATTTGATTCTGTAATTTATTTAGATTTTAATTTACAGAAATAGTTTTCTTAAAATGTTTCAATATTTATTTTATTCGTGTAAATAAGTAACTGTTGAGATTATTATCATCTTCTCTGACAACATTTTTATTTTATATTGCTATATAAATATAACAATATATTATGTAAAAGTTCGTATACGAAATATTTAACAAACTTGTATAATGGTTTGTGTGAGAATGTTTTAAATAGAAGTTAAATAGTAAAGTTTGAGTTATTTCAAGGAATATTGCGCCACTCTGTGTATAATTACTGTAATTTTAGTCGAAAGTGGTTCATAGTTCCTATTTATTTGTGGGTTCCGAAACTGCACAGCGACAGAATTATCTGTACCGGAGAGCTTCAGGATAACTAACTGAGAGCGGCTCACGAGCGCCATCTGTCAGTATTAAAAAAGTGTCACAAAATCTTTGTCGCAATGTAACTTGTCGTTGACATTTCTTTTCGCAAAATAGGATTCACATATTTTCTAACAAACTAGTTGTAACGATATAATTTTCAATATTATATAAAAGATTCAAAATCTATTAAAATTACTTATGAATTTTATAAAGCTATCAAGGAATGTTTAATACGTTCATTGATTTTTTTAAAAGAAACATCCATAAGCTGTAATTTCTTTCTTATCTTTCTTAATATAATTTTTCGGGACCCACATTCAAGTAAAATTAAATGTCAGTAAAATTAAACAATTTAGAAACCAAAGGTACGTATTATTTGAGGTCTGATATAAAATAACGTAATATTTAAAGTAACAAATTACTTTAAGGTACATAATTCAATATGCAACAAAATAAAAACACAAAAGTATTTATGTTTTTAAAAGGATTTATTTAACATTTATTAAACTTTTATTTATCTTTTTAAATTATTTATGTTTTATAAAGTAATGGTGGCAGAATATTTTGTAAATATATTTTAGGTTTTTTTATTATCTGATAAACACTGAACATATTCAAAATGAATCTAATTTTTATTTTCTCTTATATATTTTACATGATATTTGTAAAAGTTCAACAACTATTGAACGTTTAAATATACATACAAATCTCATACATTCATATTTACTTCTCAAATCTTGTGTTTTGTAAAATATCCGACACTTATTTGTTATTGTTTAAATCAACAAAAATTTGTGGAATTTACAATTGTTGGTTAATATCACTGGAAAAGAATTTAAACATTTTATATAATATGGGGTGAAATAAATAATTGAGTATTACTAGTATCTAGTTGTTGCGCTGATACTATATGTGTATTTAAATGTTCTATGAGTGTGTCGTGTACAGCCGGCATGTAGCTAGCATATGCATTACTTTAGCTCTAAGTATTAATATATACAAACAATAAAATAGACAATGTTCTTTTTGTGTTTTATTTCATAATTTCATTGTAGAATCCTATAAAATCTCGATGAAAATGAGTTACGATAAGTGTATCAAAAACTTACATTTTAAAATAGCGACATCTAGCGATGGAATTCTAAGCTGTAACTTCACTCATCAGGAATTTTGGCAACTCGCCAAGAGATGTCGTCTTGGTTGCTGTTTTTAAATTAGATAGAGCAAAAAATCTTTTTAAAATCTGGAATTCGGAAACAAATATTTGTAAATAAGCAAATTTGAGTTTTTAAATGGAAATTCCCTTACAAAACAGTTTGCATTCAAATTGACTGTTACACAATGTATAAAATCTACTATTGCGCCCTCTATAAAAAAGTAATGCAACTTTTTAAAATAACTATTTTAGTATAGTCTACCTGACACTAGATGGCTCTTTATGAATATTAAATAAAAGCCAATCGCTGTTATTGATAAAACAACAGTCCAATTCTCGTTGTTGTATATTTTCTTAACGAAACATATTGTTGAATTCAAAATGTCTATAAAATCTCAAAAATCATTAAATGAGGAATGTTCGGAGATATTCGAGAAGAGCTACTCCGTGAGAAGTTTGTCAGAAGAAAGTCTGTCTACGTAAGTGTTTTTGTTTACACATTTTATTGTATGTTTATTGTTGTTGTTCCCCTTGGAATTTTAACATCGCTCAACATTTTTTGCTCGTTATATGGTAATGAAATAAGCTTCTCTTCCGTATGCTCGCTTCCTTACATTGAATGTTTAATTACCAGTGAGGACGAAGAGACAGACAGCCTGTGTCGCGAGCTGCTCCGCAAGATGTCGCCCGCAGCGCTCACACACCTGCGGCGACGCTTTAAGCGGGGTCGGCAGACACAACACAATGTCAATAGGTAGGCGATGTTACTGATAGTAAAATGATAGTATATTTTAAACAGAATGTGTTGGATCACAATTTGTTTCTAAACAAGAGTTAATGCAGTATGATACTTTGAATCGGTGCTAGATTCTAGTGTCTAGCTAGTCTGTGTATAGGTATAACTCGACAATGAATTGTTAATGTTTCAATTCATGTCGTTAACATGGTAAGCAGAGCGATGTAAATCTAATTATTAAGATAGTTATACTATTGTCTGATCTTGTTCATCAAGGGGCGAAAAGGTCGATACGTTTTGAATACTACATTGTCAATAGTAAAAGTATTTGTGCTAAAATTCTTGTGGCTTTTATGTTTATAATAATCAAATATATGACCGTGTGGCCTAATGGATAAGGCGTCGGACTTCGGATCCGAAGATTGCAGGTTCGAGTCCTGTCACGGTCGACGGCGCTTTTTGTTTTAAAATCCGACTGCTCATTGTGTGTGTGTGTGTGCGTGTGCGTGTGTGTGTGTGTGTGACTTGTTGGGATACATTTACCGTTAGTTTCCGAGACTAAAATCTCAGTAAAAAACATATCTAGTACCTTTCATTATCTTTGTCAAAACGAAGGTAACAATATGTTTTAAACGGTGATTTGAGTTTCAGAAAACCTCGGTCAGGCAAATTTATTTTTAAATTACTCGTTAATTATTAATCAATATGTCTTATTATAATCCAATGAATAACTCATTAACCAGGAAGGTGGAAGAAGTGATGGTAGCGGCGGCGCTGCAGGAGGGGGTGCAGTTTGCTACCCCCGACCCTCCCGCAGCCCCCACTGATGCGCTGTGGCTTGATGAAGACAGCTTTGTTGCTGCCATTGATGACATATTCGGTAAATATTGTTTGTTGCTAGTGGAGACGAGGAACTTTCTCAATCAAATTTGGTGTCAGGAGCCAACAATAGTACCGAGGAACAGTTTTTATAGAAGATTGTAAAAAAGCGATACTATTGCAATTTTCTATGTGAATGTGTCCTGTAGGTGGTCACAAGTTTAATACACACGCGCGGCAGCTGTGCGTGGCGCTGGACCCGCTGCGAACTGGCCGCGTGCATTGGACGGCGCTGCTCGCGCGTCTGCTGCCTGCTCCGCGGCCCCCGCGAGCACCCGCACTCGCCCACAAGCCATCACGCCTGCCACATGCACAGGTACGAGCTTATTCTATAGGTGTGACTAGACTTTAGTGGTCTAATAATAGAAAAAAAGGAATTAGTTTGGCAGAAATAGTACGCTTATATTGAATCCTGATTGTTGTTACAGAGGGAGTGCGTTGTCAAGTTAGTGAGTGTGCATGTGGGGGACAGGTTCTGCTACGTGAGCGTGACGCGCGGCGGCCGGGCCGGCGTCTACAGCGGGGACCTGCACCTGCTCAACACTTACGAGGTGTATATACAGACATTGTGCTGTGCTGTTACGTAAGTGGTAATTACTAAAATGATTGTACATTTGTTTCAGGTGTTCCAGCGCAGAGCGACCTCACGGCGTCGCGTCAAGAACTGCTGGGTGACAGATGCAGTTTATATGAGTGTTAGTTGTTGTTTAAATAAATAAATCTCGAAACATTTCTTCATTAGCTGTTCATTACGTAATTTTATGAGCATATGGTTGCAGGACGCGGGTTGCGTGGCGTACGCGACGTCGGAGCGCTGCGTGCGCGTGTTCGCGGCGCCGGGGCACGCGCATGCCCACGCGCAGCTGCACTGCATCACCGGCTTGCCCGACCTGCCTACAGTAACTGTCGCCTGGAGAGCTTTATTCCTTTTTTTCTTTTATCTTCCCTTCACTTTTACACTTGCACATTCTTGCAGTGTATGTCGTACAGTGAACCGTCCAGTGGGTTTGCGAGCAGCCTGTTGCTGGCGGGAACGGGGCGGGGCGCTGTGTGTGCGCTGCGTTTCTATCGCCCTCGCGCCGCGCTGCTGCAGCACGATCCCGACTCCCTCTCCTACGCCTGTTGGACGGTACTGACCTGAAACATACAAATATTGTAGTGAACGTCCGCTCTGTTTCTTAATAACTCTACTTGTAGGACCTATGCTCGGGCGCGCAGCGGTCGTACTGCTCTGCGCGAGTGTTGCCATCTCATTCGCGCGCGGTGCGACGCCTGGCGTGCGAGCGGGACGGACGACGCTTCGTGTCCTGCTCTCAGGACGCCGAGGCCAGTCTCCGGCTGCGGCACTCGTCGCCACATCTCGATGATTACATTGCCAAAGTGCAACGGGTGAGTTCTCACATCAGATTTAGAGATCCTTATTGAAATATTTGGAATTCTGCGGAAGTTGTGAGACAATAGTACCTGGCTACCATAGAATTTGGAGTTCAATTGTCACTCAGTGTGACGTTGTCAGGGTGTGAGCTGCTTCCACGTGTCATGGTCGCAGCGGCTGGTGGCGGGCGGCGGGGCCGACGGCGTGTTGCGTCTGTGGCAGCTGGCGCCCCCCGTGCCCCTCGCCCGCCTCTCACTCCCCGCGCCCCCGCCCCTGGTGGACGTCGCCATCATCGCACACTTGGAGATTGTCATCGGCTTTCATAATAACTGTGTAAGTTCACTTGTGTTTATGTAGATTGTGATCAAAATACTATAGCAGTTACAGCTCTGAGAAAAAGAATCTTCATAAATTAAATATCAAATAGTTACTCTGAGAATCTGCCTTATGAGATATCTTTTGGATTATGATTGAGCAAAACACATGATAATAACTTTGTTGTAAAACAATGGGTTATTGGAAAGCTAGCCAAATTAATTATTACTTTTAGACGCTGAATTTGTGGGATCTACGCGAGGAGACTCTTCTCCAGACCATCAAGATAAAATTCCCGTTCCTCGGTGCACTTGGAAAAAAGCTGGAGTTCGGCGCGTACTGCATTCACCCTGGTACACAAATCATGCATAGATTTTTGGACTTATGTTCTAAAATGCGACCAAAATAGTCGACACTGCAGCGAAAACAGGTCAGGCCTATTAGATGGACTATTGCTGCTTTTTGGGGTTACTTTGGAGACCAGTAGTAATTGACAATTAAGCCATATTTATATAGAAGATAAAACAGATTCAAATCTTTCCCTTTTTTAGGGCCACCTAGAAAAAAAGAAGGTACGGAAGAACAGCCTACGCAATCCCCATCGAGACGTGGTTCCCAGGTGTATCAGGGCTCTACTGGTGGTCTGCTGCTAGAAGATGACGAGACCTCTGACGGCTTTACTGGTGACATAAAATCAGACCCGTGGGTAAAACTGTACAAAGTAAACTTTGACACTTACAGCAAAGGAAATACATTGACACCGCTGCGTAAATTGGTTGACTATATTCAAATTGAATCTACCGAAGTTAATTTCATTGTACAATATAAAGATTAAAACATTGTGATACAGTGAGTTCGTCCGTTTCAACGTGTCAGAGATATTGGTGACGTGTTGCGAGCACGTCTGCCGGGTCACGCTGGGCGGCGCGCGGGCGACGGGTCCCGTGCTGCGCCCGCCTGGCGACGCGCTGCGCCCGCGCCGGCCTTCCTACTGGGACCTGCCTGATGACTTTGTCAACGATCATGGTAAAAAAGCTAATCATAAAGAATTTTAGACAAAGATTGATGAAGTACGTCAAATTATAGAAAGTTGACTATACTTAATGTTGTTGTTTTTAAGATATTTCTGTGCCTGACGCGGTGTGCATGAATCATAAAGACAAAGAGCCGAAAGACATCAGCCGTCTGCTAGAGGGCGCCGGTGAGTTTCAATAGTTATAACTTTATTGTTATCTTATAAGTCAAGACAAGTTAACTATGGAAAATACTTATACATTCCAGGTCTGCAAGGACTGTTAGAGAAAGACTTCGTCCTGATGCAAGGCTTTAAGAACGATTTAAACAAAAAGTTGCATCATATGAAGACGGACATGGACACGGTGAGGTTTTAAACACTATTAGCACACAATTGTTCAAAGCGACAAGACTAAGGTTTGCTAAGATCCATCGTCTGCTAACTGTACTATATGTGCAGCGGCGCTGGGCGGTGCGGTGCGGGGCGCCCCACCTGGCGCTGCGGCCGCACTCCCCCCCGCCCCTGCCGCCGCCCCGCGACCGTCTACAAGACTACCTCGCTCAGCTCACACTGTACGTATCCCACTAAAGTCATATTGTAACGTAGAGATGTCAAGAAGAGACGTCCATTGATTGTTTCAACCATTCAGTAATTAAGACATATTGTTATCTTTGTCTTTTTAAAGAAAATTAAAAGGATGGCAATATTTATAGTTTAATAGCGCAGACCCTTTTGTACATGATTGAAACTCAGTACATGAAGTATGTCATTTTAGTTTATTTAAAAAACAAGTCTTTTGTTTATCTATCAGAGAATTCCCTCCGCCGAGCGTGACGGTGACGCCATCTGCCAGCTCCAGTTCTACGCCTGCTCACACCAGAACTGTCAAGCCGTGAAAGCAACGTCACCGCCCGAAGCTAATGGGAAATCAATCATATAAATATTATACGACAAACTTATCTGACCCGGTGGGCATGTCAAACTAAATTACATCAGCTTATTAGTGCCCCATGTCAATATTGTCAATTTTTTTAATGTCAATCGAGAAGTTGTTAAAACGACCTTGATGAAATATTGCTGGCCTTTATTTGTATTGTCTCGAGTGTCACCATGTCTTAGTATGTTTTACATATTATCTGACAGTAATGTCTCTCACCGGCTCAGATAAGTTTGTCGCACTGTACAATATATGTAACACCATCGTTTACGTGAAATATTAAATATTTTGACTTGATCTTAATGAAGATTAAGTTTCCAAGAATTTAATGAATTACGTAAATAGACAATGATAAGTCTGGAGATAAATTTGAATACATGATTATGTAGAGCACGCTGCGATGTCACATACGTATATAATAAAATGTAATATGTACATCAATCAAATATATTGTTTTTACTCATTTTTTTTTTATATATCATAAGGCGGCAAACGAGCGAACGGCTACCTGAAATCGCTGAAATAGCGAAGTGACCGTTGCCCATAGACATACGCAATTGCATATGCGTTGCCTACCTTAAATCGACGGATGAGAGGATGCACAGAAAGAAAATATCTTCCCTTTCCATGCATCCTCTCATCCGGAAAGTCCACTTCCACTTCCCATCCTTTCCTTATAAGAAAAAGGGTGGAAAGGGAAAAGGACTGAATAAGGCCTCCGGGACGCACACTGATCAGACGAAACGCGGAATTGCTTCCACTTGACGCCTGTCTTCTGTGTGGTCGTGGTATTTCACCGGGCGTGCCGGGACAATTCGTGCGAAGATGTTAAAGCGGGCTCTACCACTGTTATATCATTCTTTTTCCAATAAAATCAACGAATTCATCAAATGTACATTTTGATAAATTAGTTGCTTTCATTATTTGTCGCTTAGTTGTTTTGTTTATTTTGCGTATTTATAATCTTGGTTTAAAAATAATGAAATCATGATAAATTACAATTTTTTATCGGAATAATTAAAGAAATTCTGACTGATTCGTCTAGGACAGAGTTGAAGGACTCTACAAATTTGTCTATAAAAATTTGTTTATCTTATAATTTACATGACATTTACATAGAAGGCTTTCAAATAAAACTATACATGTTTGTTTGCGAATCAGATATTCTATTATAAATTCACCGAAAAATACATATTTAAACAAATATAAAATCCCATGAAAGTAAATATTAAAATATCATGTGTATCAATTTTGAATATCATATTTCTAAAAGTTACATTTTAATTAATCTGATTATAAAGTTGCAGGAGACAAAGTAGCGGGTAACAGCTAGTTGTGTGATAAATGATTTTGCTAAAAAAAATGATATAATAATTATCATAACACGATATATCGCGGGAGGGCGCGGGAGGGCGCGGGAGGGCGCGGCGCGCGAATACAATTTGGCACATTGCTTTGCGGGGCTCGGTCGTGTACATATATACGCACACAGATAAATAACTCGAATAAATATATTACAAATAAAAACACAAGTTAAACATTATACTAGAAAGTTTCAAATAAAATGTTTTCACCATCAAAATTACGAATCAACACGAAGTTATTTAAAAAATTACTCGATTTGCGATCATGTTACGAGTTGTCCAAGATTCGATACTCCGACGATATTCCGGAAATACTGAAGTTCTACAGCGACACGCCCGCGTCCTGCCAACTGGACAAGTATCCCAAGTTAACTGAGGACGACTACACAAGGTTCATTACCAAGAAAGCTATGAAGAGGGAACCAGCTGATACAAGGCAAATAAGTAAGTATAATTTTAAATTTACACTTAATTATTCTTGTTTACAATAAGATTAATAAAGACGAGAATGTGAGATAATTACGCGGAAGAGTTTGTGTGAAATTAACAATTAAATTTACTATGATAATGTATTTGTTTTTAAACGTTTTATTAAAACAAAATGAAGAACATTTATAACTAATGTTTTTAGTTAATTATATGAATTCGTAGCTTTACCGAAGATTTGCTCGCGTTGATGTCTTAAATAGGTACGAGGCAAAGTACATATATTGATAACATATAACTACATATATAGTATGTAGTTTAAAATACTTTTACAAGTAAATATTATATATAGCCGTTTTATTTATAGTTTGTAATGTGACTAGCGACATTATTAATTGTCGATGTAAATTCATAAATTGTTTCTTTTTAAAAATTTCCGTTGATTTAAAATTCATTTCAAATGTTAATAAAATATACGTTTGTGAGGAAAATCAAGTAAATCGTGTTACAATCTGGTATAAGATTGCAGGAAGTTTGTTAGGATCCAGTATTTTGTAGACATGTAAGAAAGAATTTAAAGTTTTTTACTTATGGCTGACAAAAACTAGTTGTGTGCGCCGACGAGTGATACTCGACTCGAATCTCGCAGACTGTTGGCTGATTACAGACTGGTGTTGTTATTACATTATTCAACTGCTCTATGTTGTTTAAAAAGTCTTCAACGTGTCTGTAAAAAACTATATTTCCTATTATCATAAAAGTATAAACAAAACCTCGGTTTTTACAATAATGAGTTAAACAAAATAATTTTTTTCTAGTTCTACTGCTGTATGTATCTATCAAGGACAGCCTCTTCCTTTCATTATTCTATTATTCTAATTTTACAACATTTTTCTAGCATGGCACTTATTTCCTCGCAAATTCACCATCGTGGGACTAAGTTAGAAAAAAACACCTATGTTACTCTCGTATACATCCTACTTGCTATATCTAGTAAAAGTTCTGTCGAAATCGATCCAGTCATTTCGTAGTTTTGATCATACAGACAGACAGATATTTTATTAAAATTACGTACGGACATTCTAATTTTATCAACTTTATAGAGAAGTGCATACTCGCAGAACTGCTTTCTCTGCACATAAGTTGCACACCTAGTTCAATTTAATTACTTTTGCAACAGAACGTTTATATTCTATGTAGTAGTTATGTCCTTCCGTTTTACTTCTTGCTACACGTACAAATATTTTTAATAATTAATTGAAAAAAAGGATATTGTACAATAACAGACATTAGAGTATAAATATTTGTCTGCTTATCTTACTTCATACTAATATTATAAATGCGAATGTTTGGATGTATGTTTGTTAGAAGAATGAGAAACATTATGAGCGACCTTCATGGATCTTATTGAAATTTGCTTCACTTAAATGTTGTAATAATAAATAGGCTACTAATTATGTTTTTTATTTAATTTCCGCGCACAATCGCGGTCACATCCAGTTTGTTTATATATTAAAAAACTACTACGCACTTTACAGACGGATATAATATATTCGAAACAAAGTATATTAACTAAATTAAATATTAACATATCGAAACTGGTTGTGATATGTCGGTGCCGAATAGTAAACATGTCGGGACGGTGACAGACCGAAACACATTCAAGTCTGCTCAAATCTGCGATTCTATTTTTTTATAAGCAACCATTCGATTTTTTCATACATAAATTTCACCTATCTTGGTAACAGGTTGTTGACTTTATTGTCCAATACCACAACAATTACATAATCACGTGAGTAACTGAGAGGGGTAGGCAGAGAGGGACTACCATTGGGAGCAACCTTGACACATCTTTTTTGCTTCGATCACATTCATAAATCAAGATGTCTCATAGCGTACTTTTTACAATTATTTTTTATTTAAAAATCAGATAAAATACAAGAAATAGAATAACATTAGAAAGAAATACAAGTATTAAAAAGCACAATTTATTAATTTGCTATTCGACTGCGACCGCGACTTTGAACTTTTTATTTCCAGACAATGACAATGAACCTGTTCTCGATTTTAGAGCGAGAGACCATTTTATTATTCAATATTATACATTCCATTAGAAATCAGCATGAATAAATATCACATACTAATATTGATTGATACATCGTTTTAGTTATTATAATAATGGCCAGCTTACATTATGCCAGTACAGTAGGACAGTAGCAAAATCAGCAGAATCCAAACAGTCCAGGTCACCAGCGCTTCTAACTGCGTTATGTATACCAGACTTAAAAGATGACGGCACACCACGCCCCCTATCGACCACCATCGATCATTAAAAAACCAGTTTAGGAATGATGCAAGCGGTCATTCAGCTCACCTTGACATTTACAAAATATTCTAAAGATGTATATAGCTATAACATTCTAATAATAACTAGTTTTATTTTTGTGAATCCTGACTTTCAACTCCAAGCTAAATCGTTTTACACATAATACATTGAAAAAATTACAACAATCTCGACTGTGTTGAATGAAAACATATTTAACGCCATCTATCCAATATGAAATACATTCCAACACTTTTAACCTACAGACCTCCAGGTACAAATGTAAGCTGGTAACAAAGGTCGTCAATAGATGTCACTACGCGGCAAGCAAAGCATTTTATTTCAAACCTGTGTCGCATCTCAATTTAAAATAGGAACGTTTTTGATTTGTTCCTTTGATGAAAAATCTTATTGATTAGGACGGGTGGGGTGTCATTAGAATCTTCCCCGGAGTGTTATACGCAGTATTACATCGGACGTAAGGAATAAAATTCTAGATTAGAAAAAACGATGTTAATTGATAAACAGAAATCTCTCGAAACGTATTTAATTAAAATTACGTTATCTGACATATAAAAAACTGGTTAATAGTTATTGTATAATAAATTTTAGAATGGACAAGGACAAATAAAGAGATAATTCGTATGTTTCGCGAGATGCAGCTGCTGAGGCGAGATTTGATAATAATGTTATGTATTACACAAACATATGTATATATAAACAAGAACGCCAACGCCCACATTACATTACATAATATTGATTAATAGCAACGAAAATATATCAATCAGTTGCAAACATTTTTCTTGAGCAAGCAAGTTCGAATCTAACCTTAAACATTTGAAATATCAAACTTCTCTATACAAAAGTTCATGCAGCTTTTGTCCACTTTACTTATGAAATCATTACTCATGTTAACATGTTATTTATTCATGTCCAGACTAGATAAACAAATTCATATTTACTTTAAATAATTCCGGTAACCAAAATTATTCAAGTCACAAATTAAAGTATCCAAAATCTCAGTACCTTTTGTAATTAACTATAAATAAAAAGTAACTCAATATTATAATTTATCATAAATATCAAGTACAGTAAAGAATACGGAGCAAGAGGCTGCAGATGTCGTTTGTTTAAAAAACATCAATGTCCTAAGTTACTCGCTAATGTAATTAGTGTAGAGGTCAGGAATAGGGTCAGTATTAACCCCGCAGTAATTCCGCAGCGAAGTTGGCGTACAAGTTGGGCAAGCAGGTGATCTCGCTGGCGGAGGGCATGCCCAACGAGGAGATGTTTCCATTCGCGCGTCTGCAGCTGAGTACCAAGACGGGCAAGGACCTCGTGCTGGAGGGTAGCGAGCTCGCCGCCGCGCTCCAGTACATGCCCTCGCAAGGGTAACCGCATCTATCTATTTATTATACACGAACACACAAAACATAAATTATGCAACATTAATAAAAGTAATACAACACAATAAAAGACTACCTAAGACTACGCTAACGGCATTATCTTTACTTTACTATCAAAATTTCAGGTTCATCACCACATTGTCACAGTAAGATTGGACCAAAGCTATGTTCTTTCACAGTTAATATTCACTATTGAGACTGGATTCAATAGGTCCCGAGGACACATATAGTCACCGCGCATCTCAGACTCTATACTGCCCAAGTTACTGAGATCAAAGTGTCTCCTGTGTCCAGGTACCCGGCGCTGTTGACGGAGCTGCGGTCTCTGCAACGAGCTCTGCACCGCGCGCCTGACACTCACGATGTGCTGGTCACCAACGGCGCTCAGCACGCTATCTACCAGTGCGCTGACATGCTGGTGGAGCCCGGCGACCCTGTGCTACTCAGCGAGTACACATACACCGGCGCACTCTCTGTGGTCACTACTTCTCAACTTTTGAATCGTTAATTCCTTCATCGGAATTTATTACCACAACTTATTCACAGTCAAAAAACAATATTTTTTAAGTTCCGATAGATTCTTAAGTAAAAAACTTTGCAAATACCAAAAAGTATCAAGAAAATAATGGCACAGACAAGAGAACATTGAAAGATGCTCTATTAACAAGACATCCTCTTGTTCGTAGATCAACTAGGACACAAGTACTAAGATAACATTTCTTAACATTTCAGCTGAGACCATACGATCCTGAACTGATCCTAATCCCAGAAGACGAGAGCGGGATAGTGCCCGAAACGCTGGAGTCGGTGCTGGAGAGTCGGCTGATGCGGGGCCTGAAGATGCCCAAGCTGTTGTACGTGGTGCCCACCGGTAGTAACCCAACAGGCCTCGTCATCCCTGAGCACAGGAAGAAGCAGATCTACGAGTTGGCCTGCAGATACGACTTTCTTATCTTGGAGGACGATCCTTACATGTTCTTTAATTATACTGGAGTGAGTTTCTCTGTTTTCCTTTTTTGGAGCTTGAAATACATGAAAATATGTTTTGGGACATGTATAGTGGAAACTAAAGGTTTCACTTTTGAAGAATTTCACCAGATCTTACGAACTCTGATGTTTGAAATGTTTGACCTGTGTTATAGATACGCACACCTTCCTTCCTCTCGATGGACGTGTGCGGGCGTGTGTTGCGGCTGGACTCCGCCAGCAAGGCGTTCAGTGCGGGCCTGCGCCTGGGCTGGCTCACCGCGCCCGCTCCCCTCGTCGCCCGCGCCGAACTGCACTCGCAGGCTGAGCTGCTGCATCCCTCCACACTATCTCAGGTAACGTGTTGGCCTTCATGATTTCACTACGATTGCAACACCTGAAATTAGTCTTAGTTTAGTTAAGTATTCAAATCTGTTGCAATTTATTTTGATATTAATTTAACCTTAATTCACTATACGAAAATATTTTGATCACAAATTTGGACGATAAAAATGTTGCGTGATCTGCACACAATAATGTGGATGACGACACATTCGATACGTTGCTCTGTGATATGAATATTGTCTGCAAAAAACGCCATTTGCATAATTAAGTTATAAAACTGGATTTAACCAAATAATCATCTGACGCTTGTCATTGTTATTACATTTGATAATATAAACGAGTGGCACACTCTCGCTGATAAGATACTAGTGTTATCATTTACATAAATATTATTAAAAATCTGGCCTCTTATCGTTACTGATCAATTATGTAAATGTATAATATATTTGTTGTTTGCATTTTGCTGAAGCTGTAACATTGTAATAACTTTCATAAGCACTAAGGATACTGAACATCCTCCTTCGAAAGGTGATAAATGTCGATAGGATAACAGGTTAGCACACACGTTTGCAGGCAATAATCCTGCGCGTGTTGTCTGACCGCGCCGCGCTGGCCGAGCACGCTGCGCGCGCGCGTGACTTCTACCTGGCGAGACGCGATGCGCTGGGTGAGGCCCTGCAAGTGTTGCGCGGGCTGGCTGACTGGACACCTCCGCAGGCCGGCATGTTCTACTGGCTGAGGGTGCACGGAGTTGATGACGTTTACGATATGGTAAGGGAAATAAGTCAAAAATATTTGACAAAACTTCAATCTTAATATAGACAAAGATGGAGATTTCTTACTCTAGCAATTAGTTTTCATTACTCTTTACCGATTTTGCTAAACTTAATAATTATTTAAGCTACATTTGTGTAAGTGATGCGATATTACTGTAAGGTCTTCCACCGCGCGCTGTCCCGCGGCCTGCTGTTGGTGCCGGGTCAGGCGTTTATGTTTGACTCCGCGCAACGCTGCAGTCACCTGCGCCTTACATTCAGCAAACTGCCGCTGCACCTCATGCCCGAGGCGGCGCTGCAGCTGCGTGACGTCATATTGGAGGAGCACAAAGTGGCAGAGCCGAGACGCCGCGCTGCCGCGCCACCTAGAAGCAGGTAGCGACATTAATACACTCAAGAATTTTTTTATAAATACATATTGTTATTTCGATTTCTTATAAGATATTGTAATGCTTTGCTAAAATCTTTTAAGCATGTTAAGCACAAAGTGCTCCATTTATTTTTATCGCAATCACAATCGTATTTCGAATTATTACATTCAGAATAATTTGTGAATGATTACAAACAGAACGTACTTACTATCCGTATGGTGATACTAGTTACTAAATAAGTTTTTTTTTAATTTACATTTTATAGAGTTATTACGAAGTACCTTATGATAAAACATAACATATATTTTAAGTTTTGGAGACGAAAAAAATACGAACCGAAATTTTTACCAGATTATGTCGAGATTTACCAGTGTTTAATGCGAAAGTGCCATCTATCGTCGCCATTATTAATCGTTACAAAGTTTTTTTTTGGAATTTGTACATAGAATCTTTTTAAATATCAATTCAATTAAAAATAAACTTATAGTAATAAGTTATATGAGCACATTGAAAATTTATAATTGTACATTATTTTCTTCAAATTGTATCCGCTACTCAACACTAGATGTCGCTGAAAAGTTTAGAACTAAAAGCTTACCAACGGAAAATGATGCAGCCCGTGTAAAGTTGTTATCTTAAAATTTTGAATTGAGCGGAAAATATTATATACCACAATCAATAGTTTGCTTTATGTACTTAACGCAATTATTTGTATAATATATTATGTAAGTATGTTTAATTAGTATTTATGTTGAAAGAGTTTCAAAATGTAAATGAACCTTAAACTATTAAAGTGGTTGTAAAATTATTGATTTTTGGTTTTAATACAAATGTAAAAGATTTTGAAACAAATGGCTATTATAATTATATTTTTTTCAAAACGGTTGACGTTTAAAGAAGAAATTTGTTAATTAAAATCATGATAACCTTGAGTCAACAGTCAAATTAGCACAGCAGATGGTGCGCTATATTTGCGAGACGCGCCTTCACGTAACGTCGACAGAAATTAGCATTAAAAAAATCTGCAGCGGCACAGAATACACAAACAAATCTCATATTTACGAAGGCTGCGGTGCGGGGCTTCACAAGAAGCGATTCCACAGGAAACTTCAGAAATGTATAGATCTGCCTTCTTTCAATAAGTATAGATGCGCGTCAATTTTAAAATTCATTATGGAATCACTTCAAAGCGAATGCACTTTTGTGAAGCCCCTCTTGTGTCGCAAATATTTGTGTTACACTCTGTGCATAATTATTATAAAAATGTCAACTTCTCTGTGACGCGCAACATCACGTCACTCTATTGCTCATTAGCCACTTCATTAAAGATACGGTAATTCCTCTTTCAAGTCCTTCTCTTGCTAGTGTACTCCTGTCGGGTCAAGTATGGTAATTAAATAATAAGACTAGAAGCAAGCTAGTTATCTTGTTGCGCCTTGCCAGTTGCCAGTTGCCAGTTGCCGCTGCGATCTGCCAGCGAACATCCTCAATAACTGCTTAGTTAGCGTCCGCTGCTGTCTGCACAGACTATCTGCAAACAGAGAGTACTCGTACATATGTAGCTAAACATTAAAACAATAAATAATAAGGTGAAGACACTTGTTTATATCACAGTTTGCTTTATGCTAGGAGCATTTCTTATTTATTTATTTCTGAATATGTTATGTATGTTAGTTGTTTAATCACTTCTGTGTTGTAACTAACGCATCTGTAAAACGTCTCTATGATGTTATCAGGTGTATGATCCAACTGTCTCTTAACTTTGCTTTCTATTGTAACTGAATAATATAAATGTAAACGTCAGAGAAAACTTTATAATTACTTTATTAGTATTAAAGTAACAACAAGTAGTCTCTGTGGTTCATTACTCTGTCCACACTTTCTCATTATTAGCGCAAAGAGTTGTTTTATTCCGCCGGCGCGAGTTAGGGCACAATTTCCTTCACCTCTTCCCCAACACCTTATCACTTCATTTTTAATCGTAACTCATTATCACAAGAGCTGTTTTTCTTTAGCACAATTATCTCGGAAAATCAGACAGTTTACTGTTAAGAGAAATAACTGAAATTGAACGTTAACAGTGTTGAATAAGGTTGATGTTTATTTGGTCGTGTTGTGTAGAGGAACGAAAGCTGTTTAAGAGAACGATTGCTCAGAATTAAGGAAATAAGCAGTTTTAATTGGCGCGCGATTATTCGAGAGCACGTTCCCCGTGTCCCCCGCAGCCTCCCTCAGCACCCCCGCGACCGAATGAGTTGAAGATTGGCTTTAATGAACGCTGAATGTTGTGTTGTGCGGAGTGAGCGGCCCCGCGCTGCGATTGACTGCAATATTGCATTAGCAAGTTATTTGCACGATTTTCTGCAATAATTAGTTAGTAATAAGTTTAGTTTATTGGCTACATCTGAATTGTTAGTTACTATAGTCATGATGTAATCGAACAATGGACAAAGCATTAGGTCGATAATGGAATAGTGACCATATTTACATACTATATAACGCGTTAGTTGAAATGCAAAGTTCTACAATCCTTTTGATGCCTATACAATGGCTACAAATACTATTGGTGAAATAAAATACATACAAACTGACCGTGGATTTTTGAGTCCAAACCCTCCGTTTAAACCATGTTCTTATCTCTGTGTTGTTAAAGATAGTGACTGAGCTGACGATATGTTTTATATAGAGATTTTGGCCTCAGAAACCCACAGTTAGATAGTTATCGAGCTTACTCGAGACTTGCGATATCTTTGTGTAACATATCTGTCTTGTTTCCCGCATCTCGAGTGTTTCTTTCAAACACGTGCGCTGAAGAGGCTTAATGCTTTATTAAGATAATGACAAATTCTGTGCAAAAATCAACTTTATTCTTATGTATTAGAGTTGTAAATATGAAAGCAGATATTCTAAGTATTTGATTCTATTAACTTGTTGTGCAAAACCGACAAAAATTGTATTACAAATTTCAACTTGCTATTACTCTCATCACTAGAAAATCTTTATTACTTTAGGTTAAAGTCTAATTTGGCAGTAAAATTATAAACAGAAGAGCAGTAATATGTTTGTAAACAGGAATACTATTGTTGAGAGGCGTTAGTTTTGACACAAAACATAATTTTTTGCGGTTTAAGTTGTTTGCGCAAAACATCGAGGACGTATTGTTGTTGCGGGCTTGTTTCACATGCAGCAGCGGCGGCGGCGGCGGCGGAGCGGATCAAGACGTGTTGAACTTCAACAGTGGGATTAACACGTTTTGATACAATGACACCGCGCGGCGACTGTGAAGGATTACGTGATAATTAGAAGTGCGTATTGTTGAGTTGCTTTGCTGCGGCTCGTGTGTTTGACCATACGATACGATACTTATAACAAAAGAGCCAAGCTACTTGCACATGCTTACATTACTTCCTAACTTACGTATAGAATTATAGTCATTTCAGTTATAATTCTGGGTTGGCATAGTTATGTGTAGAACTGAAGTAAACTCAATTCATGTTTCAAAAATATTTTTAAGCAATATCATTTTTGTCACAGTTTGAATATAGATGTGATACAGGATGTATTAAAATTGTATTAATTATGACTTTAAAAAATGCAAAGTCGGTGTTACAGTATCCTAAGAGAACTGTAACTCCGACTTTGCATATTTATTCAATCAAAGGTCTTTTACATTATAACTCGGGTGCAATAAATTACGTTTAAAATTAGCAATAGTTACTAAGTTATCAAGGCTACTTACATCCTGAGCGGCAGTTATATCTTCGGTCGTAGTTTCCAATGACGAGGAGACGAGAGAGGATTTTCTTACGACTAATTATAAGAAATGAAATTGAGAGAATGGCGGAAGGCGCGGGGCTGAGGGGTGATGCGGGGGAGGGGGTGGTGGAAATGGAAAACTTAATGTGATTAACGGCATTCGTTCTTTGTGTAGGCTACGGCGCGTAACAATAGCGGTAGCGTTTTTAGTTAATATACTCTAACTCGTTAACTTTAACTCTGTCGTAGATAACCACTGACAAATATTTCACAAAACTTTATAGGTAGCAATGTTTTTACAAAGTTGATAAAAGGGATGACAATAGATCAATTTCAAGTTGCAACGCTTGTTAGTATTGTTTACCTCTGAACTCACTTTACAAATATACCAAGATGGCGCTGATCTCTCCCGCCTCCGCTTGTAACTCACGCCCCCGTCTTGTGCTAAGGAAGCTGCATTATGTAGGTAACAGAGTGTTTGCAAGACGTTTGTCTGATCAACGATTTCCATCACATTTGCTGTGCAGAAATCATTTCCTTGTTACTTTGTTGGTAATTAGTAATATTTGTTAATGGAAGTTTTTGATGTTTTATGGAATACTTACGAATAGAACCAGAGATATGTCGTAGTATTTCAGTTTCATACATTAAGCAACAATCACATTAAACATAACTAAGTTTTATTTAAAAAAACAGTGCATTATTATAAAAATATACGATATAGCTTTTCAAATATAATATAGTTTCAAATAAGACAAACTTTTTGTTGCGTTAGTATCTACATAAATACCTACTTCTAAACGAATATCAAAGCTTCTTTTGTACTTAAAACGCGTAATATGACCCTGAAAAACAGTACTGCGACCTCCCGCTGAGTGCATCCCTAAGGGCCCATTCAGACTGGGATTATGTCGCGGTAATGTGAGGCAATCATGTGATTAACACCTATTGCTATAATACCACGACACGAAAATATCGCTGACAAATATAACACATATAAACTTAATCAAATACTATACATTGCGATTTTTGTATATAATATTCATCGTATCACAAAATGTTGTAATACAAAAGCAGCAATGGAATTCGTTCAGATCAAAGAATACGTATCTATCACGGTGAGGGTATAATGTCGAATTTCACGGTATAATAATGAGCGATAAAAATATACTGAATGAATGGCGCATACAGGATGTTCAAACATTTTATTCGGGGAGTCCGTTTGATAGCAAAATTTTAAAGAACAGAATATAACAATACTTCGTAAATAAGGCAATAATGTACGAGGACGAGAACTTTCAATAGTTTTAAAACTATATTTCTTACACACCTCTTCTGTCCAACGTAAAAAATGGCAACAGGAAAAGTGTATTGCAACAAAAACCGCACTTAAATAAAACCGAAAAAGTTACTTATTCTTAATTAATTTCATTTAAACATATTAGTTTAATACAGCACGGAAAGTTGGTAACTAAGTTATTTAAGTTGAGATTGTTTCTGACCGTCCTAAACTAACAAGCGTCGGCGTAACCGAAAGAGATTTTAGTTACGTTAATTAAATCAGTTAAAACGTTACATTCATTAAACTGTGAAGTTAAACACTTGAAGTCTTTAAATAAATTCTTTATCTCAATTGTTGACTATTTTATTATATAACTAATGCAAGTTTTCAATGTCAAAAACTATAACTTAGGGAAAAAAATGTGCACTAAAACTCTAGTTGCTAAATCCCACATTTTAACTAATTATATAACTTTGATTGTTATACTAATTTCATTAATATAACAATAGCCTTTTCTTAAAATCTAACAATGACAATTCTCTGCAAATATTTAGCTAGAAAAAATCTGGTTGAATTTAGTATCCCCCTGTGTATAAGGGCGCGGACAGAGTGCGCGTCGGAGCGTGTGATCGCTTCGTGCGAACGTCCCGCGTGCGGATTATTGTATTAACTGTTCACGTCTTTATATTCTGCCGCAGTCGCCGCGTCGTTATGATGCGGAAATAGCGCCTGATGTGTTACAAGCCTGAGATATAGTTAATCGT